ATGACTAGTTAGGATCCTGTGTGCTGGGCACCATCAGGCCTTCTTTCTTCTTGCTCACCCTCAGACAAGGTGAAAAATTAGAAGTCTCCATATGTGAAAAAATGGTAAACAGTAAAAAGCGAGATACCCTACAGATAGGGGACTGGAAGGATGATGAATGGCCTCCAGAGCGGGTCATTCAATATTATGTTCCCACTACATAGGCAGAAGATGGCTCCCAGGGCTGTTGCACCCCAATCTATACACTCAGCTACGTCACTTGGCTTCAGTCAGGAGTTGAAATTATAACTAATAAAACAGCTAAAGCCCTCAACATATTAGCCAAACGACAAACTAAAATATGAAACACCATCTACCAAAACTGTTTGGCTTTGGACTACTTGCCAGCCTTGGAGGGTGGCGTATGTGGAAAATTCAATCTGAGTAACTGCTGTTTACAGAGTGATGATGAGGAAAAGGTAATTGAAGAGATTACTGACAAGATGAGAAAGCTTGCTCATGTCCCTGTGCAGACCTAGAAGGGATGGAGTCCCAGTGACCTGTTCAGGGCTGGTTCTCAGCCCTAGGTGGCTTCAAGACCTTAATAGGGATAATGTTCCTTGTCTTAGGAGCATGCCTGATATTACCCTGCCTAATCCCCTTCTTCAGGACCATATGGAAACCACTATAGAAAGAAAGACAGCTGCTCATGTAATGACACTGTGGAAATATAAACCCTTAGATCAAGATAATGCTCTTTGACCCAAAAGTGGGTCTGAGCATCAAAGTGGGGAATGTGGCAGGGAGGGGGAATTGAGATAATGAGAGACAATGAGGGAGATAATGAGAGACAATGAGTGCAACAGTGAAGAAAAAACAAAAAAGGATTTAAGGAATGTCATATAGCAGCTGGGGTGAGACCAGAGAAGGGTCACCTCACCCCAGAAGTTAAAAGTAGCCAATAAAATAGTATGTGACCATGTATGGGACAAGCTGTACCCTCCATTTCTGTAACCTGCTCTAAATGGTATATAAGGAGAGCCTCCTTTGTTCTCCGGACTCAGCTAGGGATGGAAATCTGCTGAGTTGCTGCTGGCTTGCTTCCTGAAAGCTTTGGTGCCCCATCTCTCTGTCTGAGTTATCCTACAACAATGTCGCAAGGCCTCCTGCCATCAGGAAGGTATTTAAATTTACTTACCTGTATCTGAATGTTGCTGAGTCTATAGTCATTTCCTGCATTATGGCAAACAATTAGTTCAATGAGCATGAGCAAAACAGAGTAGTCAAGTGTTCTATGACTTTGGCCTTGGCCTTCTGCAGGGTGAGGCCAGCTCCTGTCATCCAGGCTCCAGCTAGTGCCCAGGACCTGGAGGTGGGGTCAGGGGGACTGCTTGTCGCATCAGGACGCCTGGCGGGCTTGGTGGCATCAGGTCACTGTGTTTTGTAGCTGAGAAATACAGTTTGTAGCTATGGAACACAAGGGTTCTGGTGGAGATCAGGAGGAGCAAGGTAACCTTTGTTGGGATCAGCAGCTCAGAGATCCCCAACCAAGGTAACAGATTTGTTACCAATGATTTATTGTGCTGCCCTGGCTGTCTGGTTCACAACAGGTGAGGGTGGTGTGATGGTGGCACAGGCCTCACTTGCAGCCTGGTAGCAGGTCACCTCCCTCTGAACTTTGCCCAGAAGCACTCCTTTTACCTTGTCCCTGCCAGGCTTACCCACATCCCTGGGTGGAGGACCACAGGCCACCTCTCCTGGTGCCGAACAGAACCTTGACCAAATTTCTGCAACAAACACTTTGGGTCAAAAAAAGAAAGTGACATTTCAACTTGAATTTTATCCAAAGTCCAGGTGGATCTGGGGGTGCCAAAAGAGGATCACTAACATCCAACACGTTACGACAGTTACAGACTGTGAGCTCCAGGTTCACCCTTCCACGCATGCCTGAGTTGTGTGTGTCTGTTTGAGACAGGGTCTTGCTAAGTATCGCAGGGTGGTCTGAAATTTGAGATCCTCTTACCTCTGCTTCCTGTTAGGATTACAGGCTGCACCACCACGCCCTGCACCACATCAGGCTCCTGTGTTTTGCTTTGTTTTTTTCATGGTTACTAGGTTTGATCTCAGGGCCTTGGGTTCTACCCCTTGAGCCTTGCCCATAGTCCTTTTTGCTTTTATTTTCCAGACAGGGTTTCATGCTTTTTGCCCCAGCACGTCTCAAACCATGATCCTTCTACCTCCACCTCCACCTCCTATGTGGGATTATAGGCATGCACCTGGCTTGTTGAGATGGGGGTATTTTACTTTTTGCCTGGGTTGTCCTCAAACTGTGATCCTCACTATCCCTACCTCTTGAGTTGCTGGAATTATAACTGTATCACCATGTCCAGCACACATACCTGCTTCTTATTTATGTAGTGGGACTGGGGTTAAGTCAGGATTTTGAGCTTATAAAGCAGGTGCTTTACTACCTGACCACATTTCCAGTCCATTTTGCTCTGGTTATTTTGGAGATGGTGTCTTGAGAGCTATTGCTTAGGCTGGCCTAGAACTGTGATCCTCCCAATCTCAGCCTCCCACATATCTATGATTACAGGCTTGAGCCACTGGTGCCCAGCTTCATACTTGCTTTTTTTGGGGCAGTACTGGCATTTGAACCACTTAAGCCACTCTGCCAGACCCATACCTGCTTTTTAATGGATGGGATTCTTAAGCATTTCTTTGAGTGTTGAGCACAGTTCTTTCTCAGTAGATGGTGCTAGAAAGAGATTGCAGGAGGAAGACGAAGTTTCTTGCTGGTTCTGGTGTCTACACCATAGGCCAGCAGGATAGATGGATGTTTCATGGTGCCCCACCTGAGCTATGCCTTGGGGCTAGTGACCATTTTCCACAGGAACATCAGGCTCCAGGCTTCCTACCCACACTAGTGCCCTTCTGCACGCCTGCACGTCTGACATCCAGCTGTGGCTCACCTGGAGTTGTTACCTGCTTGCTCAGAGTCCCCACACCAGCTCCTGCCTGGACAATGTACCAAAGTTCTCTGCCAGTGGGCAGCCACTACACCTTCTCCAGTAAGGTCTGAACATGTTTGGAGATGGAGGTGCCCTCCTTTCCAGTTTGTACTTCCCTTCTCCCTCAGTCCTGAGATACTCAGTTGAGTTCTCTAACACCTTGTAGTACTTGGATTACAAAGCTTGATACTTTTTTTTTTTAAAAAGTGGGACTGGGGTTTGAACTCAGGATTTCATGCTGACTAAGCAGGCACTCTACTGCTTGAGCCACACCTGCAGTCCATTTTGGTCTGGTTATTTTGGAGATGGAGTCTTGTGAACTAGCTGGCCTCCTGATGTCAGCCTCCCAAGTAGCTGGGATTACAGGTGTGAGACACCAGTGCCCGACAACAGCTTGATACTCTTTACACTAAAATTTCCATGTTTCAAATCAATGTGTCATTTCTGTCTTATTATTTTTGCAGTACTGGGTTTGAACTCAGCATCTACACCTTGAGCCACTCCACCAGCCCTTTTTGTGTTAAGTATTTTCGAGATAGTCTCTTGAACTATTTGCCTGGGCTGGGTTTGAACCTCGATCCTCCTGATCTCTGCCTCCTGAGTAGCTAGGATTACAGGCATGAGCCACCAGTTCCTGGCTATTATTATTTTTGCATACTGGGGTTTGAACTCAAGGCCTCATTTGCTAGGCAGGCACTCTACCACTTGGGCCACTCCAACAACCCTGTTTTGTCTTGGTGTTTTTTGAGATAGGGTCTTGAGAACTATTTGCCAGGGCTGGCTTCAAACTGAGATCAACTTGCTCTGTCTCTTGAGTGGGTAGGATTACAGGCATGAGCCACTGGTGCCCAGTATAACTGAAAGATTTTAAGCAAAGGAGTGACCATCTGATTCTGAAGGGCTGAGGATATAGATCAGTGGTACAGGACTTGCCTAACATGTGAAAGATACTAGGTTTGATGTATAGTGCTAAAAAGAAAAAAATTCTAAGAGGTCTTTTTGCTTATGTGGATAATGAATTACAAGGAAGCAAGGATGAAAAATGCAACTAAGACAGTAAGACAGCTAACAATGAGGGTGAAGATGGTGTAGTTGGCCAGTGAGGCTCTTCTGGGACTCTAACATTCACAGTACCATAGTACAAGTAGAATTATGAGAAAGAGGAAGGCTCCTAAAGCTCACACCTGCACTTAGATGTCATTTACAAGCTAGGATTTATTATATGCAAATATTTTTGCCACCTCATTTGTTCTCTTTGAAACAATAAGATGCAATTGCATAAATAAAGTGGCCAGAGGTATGAGATAGGTGGTAGAGCTCCTATCTAGTGAGCTCAAGGCTCTGATTTTAGACTCCAGTGTGTGTGGTTGGGGACTCAGGCCTGGGCTAAGTAGAAATAGTCTTAGCATGTGAATGGTCAGCATTGGCAGACAGAGGCATGGGATCTGAGTGGATGCAGTACTGGATGAGGTGTTTTATTAGACACATGGTAAGTCAAACTAAAAAGGCAACAGTAATTTGCTCTGGAGGGAATGTGTGATCTGCTAGTGGACTTAAAAGTGTTTTCTGTAGCTGACTGGAAGCCATTCACAGATTTCAAACAGGACAGTGACATGTCATCGAGATCCCTTCAGGAATTTTAGGGCTGGAGGTGTGGCTCATGTAGAGGCATAGAGAACATCTACCTAATAAAGCAAGCTCATGGCTGAGTTCAAACCCTAGTACCACCAACAAGAAAAAGATAAGATGAATTCTAGAGAGCAAAGATCGGAGGAAGCAAGAAATGATATGAGAGAAAAACAGAAGGAAACAGCTAATTCTTACTGGGCAAAGATAGCAGCACAATTTATTAAGTATGAAGAGCCATGCATAATAAACAGATACTGCTATTGTCATATGTATGAGACTCTAAGAAACTTGCTCTAGATTACAACAGGTATCTACTGAATAGCCAACCCATGATTTAAAGCTGATTTTGTCATAAAATAATAATAACAATGACCTGTGATATCATATGTACATTCAGAATTTTTATTTCAAAACAAAGAACCACAGTAACATTAATAGAAAACCCATATGCAGATATTCACAATCTGGTCACTGAGAAATGGGAAAAATTTCACCTTGCATTACTGTCAACTCACCGAGGAGCCACAAGAGTTGTTAGAAAAAAGTCACCTTCCAGCAAAGCCCCCTCTATAGCTATGTGAGTTTTTATCAAAGGCTCAACAACCAGAGAGATGGTGAGAACTGAAGACTAAAATACTGTTGTATGCCAGGGCTTGGCTAAAGTGTCTGAAATGTGTAAGCACCAAGGAGGAATAGGGAGATCAGGCAACCTACAAAAAAGCGAGGGGAGGAGAGAGTGTCTTAAGGGTCCAATCTCCATTTACAAAGGACAGGGAATGAAGAGATAAGTGTGGAGGTGTCTGTGACCTGCAGCAGGAGTCTTGTCATCTCCTCTAACCTCTCAAATGCTCCAGTTAGAAGAAAGTCTTCATGTGTTTCTTATCCCCTTCAACAAAAGCCTCTGTCTCCCTACAACAGGGTTTCCAAAGAGCCACATGCCCTGACCTTGCACTTTCTTATGTCGCTCCCATCTGAGTGAGGTTGAGCCCTCCACCCTCAACCCCATGATGTAGGCAGCTCCTACCCACAGGGAAAGGTAGCCAGATGAGTCAGAATCTAAAGTCTGGGTGTAAACTCCACCCAGCAGAGGCAGTGTTACTTATATACACAGGGATGACTTTTAATACATTCTATTCAAAAGGAAGACTATAGGAACAAAGGAAACCAGTCACCAATAAACTACTTTCACCCAGAGCAAAGTGACAATGCACATACATTCAAATTCTCATGTGTGGGCTACACTGCACCTTTACTCATACTATCTCAAACGTGTGTATCAGAAAAGAGTCAAGGCCCCTAAAGAGACTTGGAATAGCATCACAGTAACATGGTGACAAGGCTAACTTGACACAGGGACAGACAGATAAGCATGCCATGACCCGAGAGCAACAGCACACTTAAACTAGGCAATAATCGTTCAGGAGAGATCCTCTCCCAGAGCTGAGATTACAAATTCCAAGTTAGCTGCGAACATTCTTCTCAGAATCCCCTTAAAGCTACAAGTTAAAATAAAATAAAAGTCAACACGTAAAATCTCTTAAAGAACAAAATGAAGAAATTCCAAGCCTCTACCAAGTACCACTTTTTTAGATTTCTCATTTGGAGGGCTCTCCCACCAGATGGGTGGGATCACTTTAAAAAAAAAAAAGTGAGTCCACTACAAGGAGAAGGAGTTGTTTGGTGCAGGGAAGTGGGGAGATTTTCTACAAATAACCTTCCCTTCTTGGACTCCATCCAAAATGAAAGTCTATCAACCACTGTTAACTACAATGCCCATCTTAGTAACGATCCTAGATTTCAAGTAATACTATGTATAAACTATAAAGAAAAGTTCCAAAGGAAACCAGTAGCTTTTTTTTATACAGGCAATGACTCTTCTGAGAAACTAAACCGAAGAGTTTCTATGTGCAGTACAGAAATTGTTAAGACACATCGTGCAAACCTACATCCACACCCCTCCAGGACGACTGACATTTCACTCCAATTCTTCCCTTTCTGTTGCACCTTACTTAACAACTCTCTAGTACCAAAACATTACCCTATGACCTCTCTAGACACCTCCCTCTAACATCAATTTCCTTATGGTTTTCATTATTTGGTAAAATTATTTTATACTTAAAAAAATAAATATGCAATAAAACCAGAAAGTAAAATAAATAAAACTCAAGTTACTTTGCTGTGCAGAGCTGTATGAAGTGAGGAAAGGGCCCTGTGTAATTCCCTGTGGGCCTCGCCTCTGAATATCTGCTTGCTGGTAAGCTGAGGTGGGGACTGCACCTACTCCCCTATGTGCCCTAGTGAGGCAAACACAGAACCTGAGGGCAGAAGAGCTGGCAAAGTTGTCATGCCATGCAGCCAATCCCTCCTGAAATGAAGGTAGGTTCAGTTGGTCTCTCCTGAACAGAAGAGAATGTCCAAGAAATGAAATACTTAAGAAGCCATTGAAGAGCTGACTACCCCAGCACTGGGTTCATCTGAGTGTTCGTGAAGTGTGTGGGATGAGAAAGGAATCAAGTAGCAGCATTCAGCAGTCCTGGTTTCATCCTGATGAAGTCTCCCCCTCTTCAGGGAGAGGTTGCTTTCCATGTTGGGAGGGAGGTGGAAGGAGGTCTACCTCAGACATTGGTGGTGGCCTCCTTTGCAGGTTGACCGCTGTTTATCTCTCCAGGGCCTTTCCCAGATCTACTGGCCTCCTGTGCCTGCCCTTCAAAGGCCCGGGTGATGTCATCAAAAGTCCTGCCTCGGGTCTCAGGGACTTTGAAGAAGGTGAAGACCAAGAAGATGACAAGGAAAGCAGCAAAGATGATGAAGACGTAGGCTCCTAAGTAGGACTAGTGAAAGAGAAAAAAGGAAAGTGAGATAAATCCTGGTCAGTGACAAACTAGAATCCTTTCATAGTGAATGGGAACAGCAGAGATTCATCTATGATGCCATTGCTAACTTATTATATGTCTGGCAATTTTGTCACTCTTTTCCTACTTATTTGCTAAAATGACAGAGCAAAGTGACAGAACACATACACTGTCCACCACCTGAGTATTTTATACATTTGGTCATTATGTTTAAAATCTGGGCTTCTGAAGACTCAAAGACTCAGAAATGAGACATGCATCCTCTTCTAGATGTCCATTGCCACGTTCCTTTATGGGACACATCAGTGCCTCATCATTTTATAACAGGACATAACTGGTTTGTAAACAGCCTTATGATCATAAAGTCATTAATGTTATTTTAAACTATGAATTAAGTATTGGAATCTTTTTACTATCATTTTGTCATCTCAGACTAGTGGGCCTTTTTAAGTTCCCAGTTTTGCCTTCCTACTTTAATCTTTTCTGCTGTTATTTCTGTTTTCTACATTTCATTTAAAATGAGGAGGAAATCTAGTTGAAAACCCTTGATATCTAATCTTTCACGGACTCAGTAACAATTATTAAGGTGTATCTTAAACATATTGGCTTAAGTGGACTGGTTTCAAGATAGGCTCATGAGTTTGGTTTTAATTTACTTACTGCAGCCGAGGGGAAGAGCAGTCCAACCAAAAAGTTGGAGGTCCAGTTGGAACAGCCAGCCACTGCCATGGCTGTCGGGCGGGGTCCCTGGCTAAAGAGTTCGGTCACAATAAACCAGGGAATGGGGCCTGGTCCAATCTCAAAGAATGCCACATAGATCAAGATAGCAGCAATGCAGACAAAGCTCATGGCTTCATAGTCATCCTGTAAAGGAGAGTTGGTGTTAAAGACAGCACAACACAGGGGCCAGCTTTCCAGTACTCATCAGCACTGACTAAGTGCTAAGTTCCAATTACTAGACTTGGAGTCAAAAGGCTTGGGTTTCTTTTTTGTATCTGTGTGGTACTGGGGTGTGAACTCAGGGCCTACAACAGCACTTTTTTATGAGGGATTTTTTTCAAGATAAGGTCCCCAGCTGGCTTTGAATCTCAGTCCCCCTGATCTCTGCCTCCTGAGTAGCTAGGGTTACAGGCGTGAGCCACTGGCACCTGGCCAGCCTTGGATTTCTGAATCTCAGCTATGTACTTCACCTGTCACTGAGAATGCTTCACCATTTATAAAATGGGATCTATAAAATGGGATTACCTCAGGTGACTTTTAAGAATTAAATAATGTATTTATAAGCCATGTTATATACATGATCAGAGGTTCACCTATCTCTGATTATTCACCTTATCCTCATTCTCCCCACTCCAAAGAGCACTCACCTTCAGTAACAATGAAACAGTCATGAGAATGGAACAGAAAGCCATGCCTCCAAGCCCTATCATATGCAGGGTCCTTCTTCCTGCTCTTTCCACCAGAAATACCTAAAAGATGAATAACAGAACATGAAATGTCTAATTTCTTTTTCATGAAAACTCTGTATGAGTGATTTATAATCCGCCTTACCAGGAGTAGAACATTTGTTATAGCTGTACTTTCCCTGCTCCAGTTCCATAATCTCTTCTATCCGTCCCCTTTTCCCACCCATCCCACATTTTCCCGTGCTGTGAAGACCACACACCCATCATTCACCATTCTTTTTCCCAAAGAGAAATTAAGTAACAAAAAGTTCTAAGTAAATGAAGGGAGGGAGCTTTAAAGACATTCAAGCCACCTTTGAACATCTGTAGCAAGAATTCCTCTTTTCTGACCTCCCAAAGTGATCACCATCCAACTTACAGAAACTATAGTGAAGATAGTATTAACCACGCCTGCTCCGATGGTGGCATAGATTGGCTCCTGGACTCCTGCATCCTTGAAGATTCCTGTTGAGTAATAGAACACCTAGTAGGAAAGAAAAGATGCATTTTTTATATGAATGTATGTAACAGTTAAACAGAACTCTCAGAAAATAAACCCAAAGGACTGGGCGTGTGATACAAGTGGTGCTCAAACTCCAGTACTGCCAAAAAAAAAAAAAAAAATCCTACACCCCTAAAAAAGAATGTAAAATGGGGAATGGGGGGACTGTTTGGGGGTGGAAACTAATGGGAAAGGGAAGATGATTGAAGTACTTCATACACATGCATAAAAACAGCACAATAAAACCTGTTAAAAAGAGTAAGAGGAGTTGAATGTGATTTCTCCTCCATGCATGCATGGAAATGCACAATGAAATCCCTTTGCACAATTCATATACACAAGAAAAAAGTGAAAAATAAATAAACTGAAAAGTCCCAGGAGGTTAGGAGCCCTTTCTAGATGCTTTGTTCACATTATCTCTTCCACAAATTATCTTCGTTCTCTTAATTCTTCGCCATTTCTACTAACTTCTCTCTTTTCTTCTAATGTTTATTTCCACTGCTCCTTTTAATCTTCCTTATGTCCACCTTATTTAGGTCTTAAGTTCTGGTTTTTTTCTTGTGGTGGGACTGGGGTTTGAAATCAGGGTTTCTTGCTTGCGAAACAGGCCCTCTACCGATGGCCTCCAACTGCAATCCTTCAGGTCTCAGTGTCCCTAGTAGCTAGGGTCATAGCTGAACCACTGGCACCCGGCCTTCTACCCTCTTTAAAGATGGGTCTTGGTATGTTTCTTGGCTCCAAGCGATCCTACTGCCTGAGCCTCCTCAGTAGCTAGGTCTATAGGCACAAGCCGCTGTGCCAGGCTGACCAGTGTTTTTGGTGAACTGTTGCAGGGAGCCTTTGATTCCCAGGAAGATACTCACAGCATTGATCCCAGAGAGCTGCTGTGAGAGCTGGAGCACGATGGAAATGAGGATGGGCTGTTGGTAGCTGGGTGACCTGAAGAGCTCTAGCACGGTGACTTGCTTTTCCTGTGACATCCTAATACTCTCTTCTTTCATCTCCTGGATGTCCTCGGTCACATCTGGGCTGCCCCACAGACGCTGCAGGACTGGGGAAAAAAACAAAGAGGAAAGGATAAAGATATTGTGCTGCCCCCAAGTGGCTTTTTTGTCAGACAGCTGGGAAGTTGGTGGCTCATGCCTATAATCCTAGCTACTCAGGAAGCAAAGATCAGGAGGATCAAGGTTGGAAGTTAACCCCAGCAAATAGTTCGTGAGACCCTATCTCAAAAAACCTTACACACACACACACACAAAAGGCAGGGCGGGGCTCGTGGAGTGGTTCAAGGTGAAGGCTGTAAGTTCAAGCCCCAGTACCACAAAAAAAAAAGTCATCAGAAAACTCCTTGGTTCTAAGAGGAGGGAAAGGAATGACCAAACAAACAAACAAAAAAATCAAACATCCTCACCCTTAACAAATCACAGCTAAATTCCTATCATCAAGTATGAAGGGTACTTACCCTCCTTGGTACGCTCTTCTTCATTTTTGTTAATGAGCAAGAACCGAGGACTTTCAGGGCAAAATGGAAGGGCTACACTTTGCAGGATAGCTGGAATGATGGTAAAACCCAGAAGTAGAGGCCACAGTTCGTCAGACCCCAAAAGGATGTCCAGACCAAAGATCTAGAAACCAGACAACCAGGAATGCTATAAACTCCACTCTTCCTAGACCATAAGTTCATTTTCAAAAGTTTAGAAAATCATCCATTCTTTTACCAGAGAAAAAGATAAACAAGTTGTGTTTCTCTTCCTATCTCTGTCCAGCCTGCTTCATAAGCTACAATTCATGAGCTCTACAGTAGCAATAATATCTGAAATTCTAGGGTACCTGAGCCACCAGAATGCCGACAACAATGCCCAGTTGGTTTAGAGTGCCGAAGGCCCCCCGCAGAGCAGTGGGCGACACCTCTCCAATGTACATGGGCACAAAACCCGTGCAGAGCCCGCAGAAGATGCCAATGATCAGGCGGCCCAGGATCAGCATTTCAACCGACTCAGCTATCTTGCAGAACCCCATAAGGCAGGCACCAGCAATGGCCAATAGGTTCACCATAAGCATGGAATTGCGCCTGAAAGGTTAATTAAAGACAAAATGAAGTCAGCCAAGAGAAAAGATCCCCACCTCTCCTTTGCTCTCATTATTCTATTCTTCTCCATTCTCATATCTACTGTTTTGATTTTAAATTTTCTTTCCCACTCTTTTTTGTTTTTTTGCAGTGCTAGGGCTGGAACCCAGGACTTTTGCACATGCCATGAAGTGCTCTACCACTGAGGAACAACCCCAACCCCTTTCTATGCTTTCATGCAACGCAGTTGTTTAGATATCACTAATGCCTTAATGACGGTAAATTATTTTAGACAAAAGAAACAGTATTTAATGTCAGTTCTCCTTTTCCAGAATAGTATCATGACTCTTAAGCAATTCTTCACTTGGGTTGCTACTGGAATTACCTGGGGAGTTTGGAAAAATAATGCTACATGGATCCCCTCCCCAGAGGGCTCATTTAATTGGCTTGTGGTATGACTCTGCATTGGGACTTTTATAAGCTCCCCCAAGAGACTTCAAATGTGCAGCCACGGGGGAGAAATGACCCAAGCCTTGTATGCACATATGAATAATAAAAAAAAAAAAGTGCAGCCACGGTGGAGAACAACTGTCAGGAAAAAATTACTTTCCATTTTCATTTTCTTTGCATACCTTTCCTTGTTTTCTCCTCTATGAGGTTTTTTTTGCTAATAAAATAATAGGAAGAAGACCATGTTAATTATCAGTAGAGGGGATCAGGTAGAATCTTAGTGACAAAATTGAGGATAGGCGTGTAGTTCAGTGGTAAAGCACTTGCTTAGCAGACTCTAGGCCCTGGGTTTGTTTTGATCCCTTGTACCATGAAACAAAGAGAAAAAAAAAATTAGAAGATAGAAGGTAGCCCTCAAAAACCAAAATAAAAATGAAACTATTCAGTAAAATAGGTTGCTTTATTAATTATTGTGGGGTTTTTTTTGCCTTATTAATTTAATTCCATTTATATATCTAGAACATCTAATTTACTAAATGGTTCCTTCAGTTATTCCTAAAAGTATTCTACCCTCTAAGACTAATTATTAAGTGAGTGTTGCCTGAGAACATTCGATTTTCTCTTTTGGGGAAAAATTCTGTTATTTGGCCACTGTCCACATTTGCCACAAACCAAGGATTCTGAAAATATTTTCAGTATAAAATAATGAAGACTTGCATGAAACCTTAAAAATTTTTGGTAAAGCAAACAACTTCTAGCCATTTAAATTTCTGTAAAGTATGTTTTAGGACAACTCCATAGCTGACTTTACTAGAAAGTAACTCAAGCATAAGCTGGACTGCAAAGGCCACTCCTTTACAGGGCTCATCTCTTGAAGGATGAGTGGGAGCTATGGAAGGTAGTAGAACTGCAACCATGAGCAGTCATATTCAGTGCCAGCTAGGCTAGGTTTCCCTTGACCAGAATCTCAGGTATCCTCGTTCAGATGCATCATTGCCTCTCTCACCTAAACTTCTATGCTTGTCCTCAATGCAACTAATACAGTTCTATTTCTTGCCCAGTTTCTGATCAATACCTGCCAAAGCGGTTCACAAAGAGTCCAACAGAGAAGGAGCCAATCATGCCACCAACAGAGAAAATGGCCACAGACAAGGACCAGAGGGCCGTGATCAACCCCACAGTGGGAAGGTCTTCTAACTTCTCTTCTAACGTGTAGTTGATAAAGTCCTTTATGATCTGCAAATGAGATGGTTGGTATGAGAGCAGTTGGATGAGAAGAGACAAACACTGGGGATCATTTCCTTCCCAAGAGGATAACACCACTATCATTTATACATAATCAACAGATGGGGAATGGAAGAGACCAATGACACATAGTCCACATACAGTCCAGTAAAACATACTTTAATTAAGGTTATTATCTCTCAAAAAGTAATTTAAAAATTTTGTTATAAAACTCCCAATAGGTGGCAGCGCTGATGTTCATTGTCTACCCCTGCCTTCTAAAAACCTCCCTCTCCCCTCTGTTACTAACCCCTCAGGATTCCCTAAGAGGGCAAGAGAAAGAAGTGGTACAGCCAGCGCGTGAGGCAAAAAAGAGCTTCTTGTTTTCATTAAATGACTCATCTTGAGACCATGTCCACCCCATAACATCCCTGTACATTCTCCCTCCTCTGTCTTAGCCAGGCTAGATAAAGTCTGTCTTACATTCTGAATTCTTTTTTTGGTGGTTCTGGGGTTTGAAACAAGTGCCTCATGCTCGATAAGCAGGTACTCTGCCACTTGAACCAATCTGCCAGCCCCCTAAATTCAGAATTCTTGGTGCTCCACACTCACCGTCTCGGGAGCATTGATGACTCCAGTGTTGTAGCCAAACTGGAAAGAGCCAATTGTAGCAACAGAGATGGCAAAGATCAGAGATGGGGTCACCTGAAAGGTAGAGGGGCACAGTGAGGAGGAAATAATCTTTAAATCCTTTGACTAATGAGATCTCTTATTAATTGTGCAGATGTATTAGAACTGACCTACAAGTGGTATGAAAACAACAAAAATACAACCTGCAGGACAATTTTGGAGGGAAGACGTTAAAACTGGGTTAATTGTTTTGGAAGCATTAAAAAAAAAAAAAAAAAGCCGGGTGCTGGTGGCCTGTAATCCTAGCTGCTCAGTGACAGAGATCAGGAGGGTTGCGGTTTGAAGCCAGTCAGGGGCAAATAGTTCGTGAGACCCAGTCTTGGGGGCCAGGGGTGGGGGAACCATCACAAAAAAAGGCTGGTGGAGTGGCTCAAGGTGTGGGCCCTGAGTTCAAACTCCAGTACTACAAAAAAACAAAAAACCCACACCAGGTAAAGACAAGCATAGAATTATGCTTAAGAACTGGGAAGGTAGGCAGAGGGAAAGTCAGCTTCAGGGCTCCTAAGAACCGTATCTAACAGCTAGCTCCAGAGTTGGTCTCACCCAAACCCTAGACTCTAAAGGCCAGAGCAGTGTTGCCTCAGGGCTGCTCTTTTTTCATTAATTACACAAATTAATGAGTTTCACTGTGCTGTGCTGTTTCAATACATGCATATAATGTGCCTTTATCATGTTCAGTCTCCCTTCTCCCCATTCACTCCCCTCTTCCTCTTCCCTGACAGTCCATCTTCTACTTCCAGGGCTTTCTTTTTTTTTTTTTCCAAAGATTCTATATGAGAGAAAACATGTGATACTTGTCTTTCTGTGTCTAGCTTATTTCGCTTACCATGATCTTCACTTCCATCAATTTCCCGAAAATGGCATTTTTCTTCAAGTATATATATGTATATTTATATACCCTATATTTTCTTTATTCATTCACCCGCTGCTCTTATCTGTGGACTACATAATCTAATATCTACCAGTTACATCCTGGCCCCCCTTTAAAGTCTTCCTGTTTGCCAAATACGGAACTGCTGGCCCCCACTCAGCTGGGGACAACACTTGCTCACTTCCAGTACATTAAAAGATATTTTTAGTGGGGGAGCAGGGGGAAACTAATCAGTCATCTTTCACCTTGCTGAGAATCATTCTGGCGGATGAATATAATCTTAGATTTTCACCTCGGGCAACTCAAATTTTGTGTCTTGAGGCCATCTTCCCCCAGAATCTCTTCAAGCTCCTTATTTTAAACTTCTTTCCTCTCAGGTCAAACAGAGTGGGAGCTTCAGCTGTTTGGCTGACACAACCTTCCCAGCGGCATCTCAGTCTTAACCCCACAGTGCCTGCCACACAAAACTGTGCCTGGTAAGTCCTTTTCCTTTTAGTAAAAAACTATTCCCCGCCTGTCACTCACCATCTTTGAGGGCCTTTTCCTTTTCTGTTTCATTTTTTCCATATTTCCTTTATTTTCAAATAAATTTGTCTTAGTGATAATGCCTTTCTCCTTACAAATACTGGAGAATTCTATGAGTTACAGAACAGATTGTTGGACACTAACCTGCCCTCCTGCACAAACCCAAGGACCTCTCAAGGTCTGCTGCTTACAGATGCCTTCATGCTGGCTCTGAGATCTGCACTGTAATTCATGCACCCAGCAGCCCACATCCTAACAATCAACCATCTTGCAGTACAGTTATGGAAAATAAACCCGAGAAGCAAACACATCTTCTCTGGTGACTTTCCTATGATAGGGAAGGTGACTGGAACCAGGACGACTCCTTCAGATATGGCTGCAAAGAGAACTGGAGGCGCTAGCATCACAGGCTAAGAAACGAAAAGGCCTTGAGATGGCTTGCTGACTTACGGAAAACTGCATGACAATCAGCACCAACATTTGCCTTTCCGAGTGTATCCAAAGAAGCAAAAAAAAAAAAAAAAAACCCCAAAAAACAAAACAAACCAATAATTACATCATTCTTACCTTCTGTGTCCCCATGGTTCTAATTTAATTCTTTTCAAGTCTTTAAGAAAGATCTAGGGGTAGGGTTCCAGTGACACCTTTTCCAGCCAACAAAACCTTCAAAATGTCCTTCTGAGCAGCAAGTTTTCTTGAGGTCTTCAGCGATCAGTATTCACTATAACCATTAGAGGAAGATTCTCTAGCTGAGGCTGGAGTAATGTCTATTTAAAATCTCTGCAAAGGGTGGAGCCTGTAAAACCTCCCCCAGCCACACCCTACACCCCCATCCAAATAACCTGGGACCTCAGGAATTTGGTGACCTCGGTTATCAAGACTTCACAACTCCTCCCTGCCTCTGGACCACCTCCCCCTTCCAGGCACTCCCGCCCTCTCCCTTTTAAAAACCACATCCTGCCTCTTCACCCTGTGGTTTCTTTCCTCTTCTTCTTCTTCTTTTTTTTTTTTTTTTTTTTTAAAAAAAAAGCTCATCTGTAGCAGCCTCTTAGTTTCACAGACAAAATGCTGCTAGAAAAGCCTAGAGGGAGGGCAAATACAGGACATTTTGTTTTTGAGTGCTCTTGGGACTGAGTCAACTTACAAAGAGATGAGAATAAATCTATCTAAGGCAGAGTTGAATGGGCAGTACTATCAGATTTAAAAGTCATTTCAAGGAGTGTAAACAGAAAGAATGCACAATGTATCAGCCCCTTTTTGATTATAAACTGAGTCTGTAATCTTATAGGTCAGCCTGACAGAAGAAAATTGTGGGAAGAATTTGGCCAGTTTTTGGCTTTAGTAGTCCTCTCATTAGCATAATCTCAACTCTCGCCTGGGGTGACAAAACTCAGTTTCTAGCAGTCATTGGCTCTTGTGGGCTTTGAACCCACTGCTTGTGGGACACAACTCAGATTCTTTAATAGGCCATTACCGTATCACCTCAGTGAATTCTGCAACTCTTTGTCTCTAGCCATAGGCTTCAGCATTAGGAAATGCAATAACTACCAAATCCAACTAAACAGATGTTTGTTGAGCACATGCCATGTATCAGGGTGATTCTTTACTGAATATGACCAAAAGATTCTGAGCCTTTAAGAGTTTAGTGTTTCCCTTCTTCTATTTAAAAGAAAAAAATTTGTTTTTAAGGACAAGGGCAACTGATTCTTACACAAAGGGAAAGGGTTAATAATATGCTCTTAGTATGCACTGTGAATTTCTTGGAAGTATGAGATAAACGTCTGGTTAATGTGCTAGACAAGGAAACTGAACAAGATGAATAGAAAAAAATGAGAAAAATGAGTGCTGTGTGAGGAGATGGAAGATAAGGTAGGGAGAGAGGAGGGCCTGGGGTGAGAGTAAGCAAAGCAAAACAATGCAGTTGCTTTGATTCAACAGTTGTGTAAGTAAGAGATAGTTTCCAGGCTTTGCCTGAGGGGCAACATAATAGTCACATTCCTACTGGCCATTAATTTGCAGCTAAGCAACCCCTTCCACGCCAAGGCTGGGGTAGGGGAAAGCAGTGCAGCTGCGTAAAAGAGGGAACTTTTGTAGACCGTGAGCTGCAGGAGGTACATCTTTCTCCAGGGTTTTAATTGGGGGCCTACAATCCAAATTGGTTCCCCTGGACCTGAAAACCAGTTTGTGTTTTCTTCTTTCCCTACACTGGTATATTTCCTAACTCTGATCCTTAGTTGAGAGAATTGAGGATGAGTGAAATGAGACGTGGAATTGAAAACCTTCCCAAGATCACACCTCCCCTCCCCCACTTCATCCTTCCTTTCCAGGGGACCCTGAGCCAGAGGCCCCATTAATTGCCATGGCTAATGAAGGTAAAGGAAAAAGACTATCCCAAGGGGAACACTCTCTAACAGAAACATCATATAAGTCATCTGTGCAATACCACATTTTCTAGTAGCCACATTAGCAGTTTTAAAAGAAACAAGTTAATTTTAATAACTTCTTTAATATATTTGAAATATTACTTTAGCATGTAACCAACAAAATAGAGTCAATGAGTTTCTTTTCTTTTCTTTATACTAAGCCTTACAAGTGATATGTAGTACTACCAAAACACCAAAACAAAGTTGTGTTTAACAGGAAAATCTTATTTTTTGTTTATTTTTAATTTTTTATTAGCATATATTATTTGTACAGAGGGAGTTTCATTGTGGTATCCCCATATGTGTATATATTGTGCTTTGATAAATTAACCCCCTCTATTACTCTTTCTTACCCACCACCCCCCCCCTTTTTTTTTTTGGTGGGACTGAACTCAGAGTTTGAATTCAGGGCTTTGTACTTGCAAAGTGAAAAAAAAAAAGCTAGGATTACAGATGTGAACCACTGGTACCCAGTTTTCTTTTTCTTTTTTCTTTGCTTTGCTCTTTCTTTCCTTCCTTCAGTGAGTTTTATTATGCTATTTAACAGAAAAATATTTTAAATTGCTTCAATTATAAAACTTAACTTCATTAAAACTAACAATTCAGTTCTTCAAGCCCACTAGCCTAGTGTGACTGTGCAATAGCACATGGCGCAAATGGCTGGACCTTGAGCTTGTAGGAGGAACACCATCCCAGCTGGGCTCTGTGGCTTATATTTATAATCCTAGCTACTCAGGAGACAGAGATCAGGAGGATCAAGGTTTGAAGCCAGCCTGGGGCAAATAGTTCTCACCGTATCTCCAAAATACCCATCAAAAAGGGCTGTCAGAGTGGCTCAAGGTGAAGTCCCAGTTCAAGCCCCAGTATGGCAAAAACAAAACAAAAACCAAAAAACAAAACAACACCGGCCCCTCTTTACCACTAGATTTTTTTGGCGGGGGGAGGGGGCAGGAAGTGGAGGAGATAGAACTACAAGCTTCCCACAGTCTAGGCAAGCATTAGACACCCCTCAACTATGCCCCCAGCCCTCCAAAATGTCATTCTTAGGTCCAAATCACTTTTTGTCTTTCTCCCTCTTCCTAGCCTTAGAAAAACTGTTTTCTAATGCTTTGCAAGAGCAGATGGCACCAGCAAAAGTAAAAAGCAGATCTGAGCTACTACATTCAGATACTCCAAGTCAGAGCAGGCTCCAAAACAAGTCAGAACCCAGTGTTTGCCTTAGGAACCTTTGCACAAATTAATTATGACGGCCCAGGATTATGTCTTTTCCTGACTATGGAGAAAGATAATACTGAGGGTCGGTTTTGAAGCCAGTAACAAATAGAGTATTTTCTTCTTGGTAAGAAAAAAGGGAAGTTTTTCAGACGCCAGTGGCTCACACTTGTAATCCTAGTTACTCAATAGGCAGAGATCAGGAGGATTGAGGTTCGAAGCCAGCTCAGGCAAATAGTTCTTAAGACCTTATATTGAAAATACCCATCACAAAAAGGGCTGGTGGAGTGGCTCAAGGTGAAGGCCCTGAGTTCAAGCCCCAGTACTGCAAAAACAAACAAACAAACAAACAAAAACAGAAGGGAAGTGAAAGGGAGGCAATTCTGAGACCTGTTTTCATAGAGGAAATTCAGGCTGAGAAGATTAGCTTTAAAAATGCAAAACTGGTGCTGGTGCTGGCCTGTAATCCCAGAGCATGGGAGGTGCACAGGAAGATCTTGAGTTCTAGGCCAGCCTGAGCTACACACATAACGAGACCTTGTCTCAACAGCCCCCCACACACCAAAAAACAAACAAACAAACAAACCTGAGCTGGCTGGCAGTGAAAGGGAGAGGTGTGTACATCTATACATATATATATACATACATACATACATTTATATGGATAAACACACATACATTTATTGGGGGTGGAGTGAGGGAACCTGTGGCTGGCTTTGAACTCCAGGTCCTCCTGCCTAAACCTCCCCAAGGGCTGGGATCACAGGTGTGCACCACCTCTCTCCCTAGTCTAAAAAACTTTTTTTGTTTTTTTGTTTGAGGCACAGTCTCAAGACCAGGCTGACCGTGAACTGACCACCCTCCTGCCTCAGGTTACTGAGTATTATAATTACAGGCTGCTGCACCACAAATGGCACAATATATGGTGTGTTTTTTGGAGGGGGTACTGGAGTTTGAACTCAGGGGATTCTCACTTGCCAGGCTCTACCATTTGAACCATACCTTCAGCCCTTTTTGTTCTAGCTATTTTGGACATAGGGTCTTGCTTTTTTGCCTAGGCTGGCCTGGACCATGATCCTCCTATTTTATTCGTCCTTCTATCACCAGGATCACAAGGACACCACACCACACCCAATGGTCTTCCTAACTGTCTGCCTGGGCTGGCCTTGAACTGCATTCCTCCCAGTCTTAGCCTCCCAACTACTTTGGATTATAGTGGGGAGCCACCTGGAATTCAACTGATTCTGAAGAATCTAAAAGTGAGCTGTACAAATTGAGACAAATGCTCCTTGACCAAGTAAGTGGGACCTAAGTAGCCGCTGATGCTCAAAAATCAGTACTGGCCTTGGATCCTGTAGCAGAGTCCAAGTAAGACAATCCTCACCTTGGGAAACAGGTAACAGTTGCTTAATTAACTATTTGTTGATGCATTTGGGGGAGACTAATTAGTTTACTGGGGTCTTCACTGTACTGTGGGAAGAGGTCCTAATAGATTCCAAATCCTGAGGGTGTGAGTATGCTCAGGCTAATGTCCTACAAGGTGAATCCTGAGTCATTTGATTCCCTGTGAGATTTATCTTCACTGGAAAGTAAAGAGGAGGAAATGGGATGGGTACATTTCAAAATGGAATAGTTTCAGGAGCAAACAGTGATGAAGTTCTCCTTAGAAGAAAGGGACTGATGGAAACAATGGTTCCAGGGATCTTCCTTCTAAATGCAGATATCTGTGGAATGTAAACCTTAAATCCAGGCTTTTGTGACTTTGTGTGATAACCAAATAGGAAAAACAAAAACAAGCAAACAAACAAAAATCCATCCTAAAATCAGAGAGCAAATAGGAAAAAAACCCAAAAAAACCAAACCCAGTCAATCCTAAAATCAAAGCACTCAAACTGTGACACAAAGACAAGGAAAAACTGTTGCTTTCATACTATAACATAAATGGCATGTCAATGCACACATAAAATACTGTGTGCACATGTGTGTAAATGGAAAAATGAGACCTATTGAAACTATTCCAGGAATGGGGGGGGAAGAGGGATAAAAAAGAATGGTGGAGGGGATGAATTCAAGTATGATATATTTGGTATATTGTAAGAACTTTTGTAAATGCCACAATGTACCCTCACCCAGCACAACAATAAAAAAATGCACACAAAAAGTTAGTGGCCCTAAAGACTGTCAAAATTAATCCTATTCTCTTTGCT